ACTGTTGCAGGTGACGCAGGTGGCGTACAACACTAGGGATACCACAAAGTACATCAGGAAGCTGCCTAGGAGAACCAGCCCGTGGATGATGGTCTGTGGAAGGAAAGAAGTAAACACTGTTGAGGGTATAACTTTGTTTTAAGCTGCTTCTTCTTCTTTTTTTTTTTGAAAATGCAACACAAAATTTGAACACACATATCCCAAGCACCCCTCAATCTTCTGTCTCAGCCTTGACTTAGGTGATAATTTCCAAGATGTTTTACCATCTTTCTCTGTTTCTCTATGCAGACTGTTTTTTTGAAATGTTAGTAAATAGAATCATGTTTTGTGTGATGAATCCATCTTTTCCACACGTGGCTATAGTTTGTTTTCAGAGTTCAGTGATGTTGTCTAATCTTGTTTTGTCCTGCCTGTCTCATGCTGCTTTCTTTCCCCATTTGTATCCTTTTTTAAACATATTGACTATTTTGCATAACTTTATTGCCACCCTTTACTAGTTTGAAAGTTATGTACTCCATTTCTATTCTTTCAGTGATGACTCAATAAATGATAATAAGCAATCTTAACTTACCGCAGTCTAAAGTTTAGAACTGCTTTCTCTCTTCCTGAATTATACAAGGGCTTTAGAGCACTTTATTCTAACCTCTTTTCCAACGTATCTTATTGCTACTGCATATTTTAATTGTCTCATCTTATTATTTATTGTTTTAAAGATATATTTTTTTAAAATATATTTTTATTGATTTCAGAGAGGAAGGGAGAGGGAGAGAGACAGAAACATCAAGGATGAGAGAGAATCAGATGGGTTGCCTCCTGCACGCCCCCTACTGGGGATGGAGCCCGCAACCCCGACATATGCCCTTGATGGGAATCAAACCCGCCACCCTTCAGTCTGCAGGCCGATGCTCTATCCACTGAGCCAAACCGGTTTCGGCTGCTTCATCTTTTTAAAGCACACATGTCATTATAGTGTAATAAGGTCAACATTCAGGTTTAGTTATGTTTCCCACTTTTTATGTCTTAATTCTTTCTCATGGAACTCCCATGAGAGATTTCTTCCCTCTTTAAGTGCAGCCTTTAGTGGGAGTGAGCTGGTAATCTATTCTCTTAGTCTTTATTTCATTCTCATTTTTGATGGAGATAGCATTCTTGTTGGAAGTTATTTTCAATCGGCCTATCTGAGGTAACATTCCACCGTCTTCTGGCTTCCATTTTTGCTACTGAGAAGTTAACAACCCTTCACCTGTTGTTCCTTAGAAGGAAATCTGTCACTTCAAACCTGGTTTGCTTTTATCATTTTTATTTTGTCTTTAGTTACCGTATGATATAATAAGTGTGAATTTCTTTTTATCTTGTTTGGATTTTGCTGACTTTCTTGAAACTCTGGATTGATGTATTTCATCACTTCTATAAAATTTTCAAGTTACTAAGAATTTGACCAAATGGATATTAGACCTTTTACGATACCACCCTACCTTCTATATATTTAATACCTCTTCCATAATTTTCTTTCCCCCCCACTCTGTTTTATATTCTGGATAATTTCTTTTGTCCACTAATTCTCCCCATTAGCTGTATCTAATTTGCTGTTAAGCCAGCCATGAAAATAAATTGTATTTGTTGTATTTTTTTTTAATTTCTAAATGTTTTATTAGGTCTATTTTCCAGTCTGCTGGGTTGCTTTATATAGTTTACCAATCTGTAGATATTTTTAAAGCTTAGTCTTTATTTATTTAAATATAGTAAACAGAGCTTTTCTAGAATTTATATCCGATAATACCATCTCCTGAAATATTGGTTTCTGACTTTTTTTTTTTTATCCTCACTAATGAGTTCTTGTTTCCATGAGAGCTTGGTTATTTTTGAATACGTGGTGCTTATTGCCCTGGAAAAGTTAGTAGGGACAATTGAGACTTAGTTTGAGATAGTACTTTTCTCTCGAGTTTGGCTCACCAGGTGATACGAGCCTGGGCTGCAAATCTGTGGGAGGAGCTGTGTTAGTTTCCTACGACAGGTCCTTTATCAACGTCCAGCTTTATCAATTTTAACCTTATGTAATATTTGTCTCAGATTTTTGTTGAAAGGTTACAGCTTACAGATATAATCAAAGCATCCATATTTAGGTGGTAAATGCTTTGTTTAATCTTGAACATAAATTCAGTGTTCATCATTCCAATGCGTATTTTATACATACATGTTTGTGCAGCCATGTTTATGGTTGCTCTATTACTTTATTATGCATGGATATCCTTCTGTACCTTTTAAAACTACACCCTATGCTTTGGAGTTTTACTACATTGATAGATACAGCTCTAGTTTATTCATTTTAACTGTTCTGTTGTATAAATATGCCACAATTTGGCATATTTTCCAGTTGATGAACATTTAGGCTCTTTGCTTTTTTTTTGCTATTAAGAACAATGGTGTAATTCTTATACACGTCTCTGTATACACAGATGCAAGATTATTTCCAGGGTGCACACTTAGAAGTAGAACCGTGTCATAGTATATGAACATTAACTCCTGGCTATTTTCAGACTGCTCTCCAGAGTGCTGGTATCAGTTTATGGTCTACTAAGAGGATATGAAAGTTCCTTGGTTGGCCTTTATTGCTTCTAACAAACTGCTGAGTTGCTTTGCCAGGAATTTATTTAGAATTTTTACATCTATGTTCATTTAGTGAGACTGGTCTATAATTTTCTTTCCTCGATCTGTCCATGCTGATTTTGGTGTCAGGATTATGCTAGCCATGAAAAAATGCCGATTTTTTTCTAATCTGTGAAATAATTGGTATAAGGTAGAGATTATCTGTCCCGTATAAGTTTGATCACAGGATTATAAATTCAGGTTTGCTGAATGATTTTGACTATGTTTTGGTAAATTTTACATTTAAAAATATGTTTAAACAGCCCCTTTTATTCTGAGTATCATTTCTGTGGTCTTTTTGTGTCTTCTCTTAGATGGGTTTTGCCAGAGATTAGTTTTCATTACATTTTTGGGAGCTCAATTTTGGTTTTATTGATTCTATTGTTTCCTTGATTTTTACCTTTGTTTTAAATAATAAAACTTTAGGTACTCTCACAAATTTGTATATATTTTTATAGTCATTTAGTAACAAGTATGTTATAATTTCCCTCATGAGTTATTTAGAAATGCATTTTAAATTTCCAAGCACGTTGAGTTTGGCTATTTTTTATTGCTTATGATACTGTTTTTCTCAAATTCCTTTGTGATTCAGAATTTGGTCTTTTAAATTTTTGGTAAATGGTCTGTGTGTTTAAATAGATGCATGTTTGGAGCATGATTTTATATATTAGGTCAAGTGTGATAATTCAATGCTTCTATATCCCATTTTTCCCAAATGATCTAGTCTCTTTATGATGGAATCATATCAAAATCTCATAGTAGCATTGTGAATTTGTCCATTTCTCCTTATATTTTTCTGGATAAAAAAAATCCAGTCTGATAAATTCTGCTTTTAATAGGTAAATTGAATACTGATATATTTGGATTTTATTTTGAACACATATGTAATACTTTCAACACTAAAGATTAAAAAAACACTTAACACATACATGTATTTATCCATCACTTTGTGATATATGTATGCCAAGTCATCACGCTGTACACTTAAACTTACACAATGCTGTAAGTCAGTTAAGTCTCAAAACAAAACCTACTGAACACAAAGGACTCTGGGAAGTTAAATGAGATACTACATTAC